GGAGGAGGGGCGGGCAGGGGAGGCGAGGAGGCTAGGGGTGCAGGAAAGAGCGAAGCGCGCTCCTCTGCCCCGGCAGATCTGCTCAGAGCTGTGTGTTCGCTCACTTGTGGGTCTGCGTGGAGCTTTGTAAGCCTGTCCGGGTGGTGGGCTTGCGTCCCTGGGCGCAGTCGCGTGCGGGAGAAGGGAAGAACTCGCAAGTGCGAGTCTGCGAACGCGGGGGTACGGGACCCGGCTTTGCTGCTCCGCGCGCGGACCTTGCAGGGTGCGAGGTTGTTGACATGCCCCGCACCTTTCTGAGCCTCGCATGCCCAGGCTGGGGCGCCCGCGTTCCCACCCTCTCCTCCTCCCCCATCCCCTTCCCGGACTCTGCGCTCTACTGCCCCTCCCCACACACATGCGGCTGTTTGTTTTTGTTGGGTTTGTCAATGTTGTCTTTGTTCTGGAGATTGTGTCATCGCCTAGATGCCGGGAATAAAGTGCAACGCTGTGTGTGATCGAGTGTGTAACGTGTGCGGCCGGGGCTAAGGGCGCCTCTGTCCATCCCATCAGTGCCTGCGCGCAGGAGCGACACGCGGGACCCTGGGCTCGAGAGGGGTCCGTTCTTATTTTAGATACGTTAAAGGGCACTGATGACCTGAGTATGTGTGACAACACACGCGTACACCGTGCAAACGGGCTCTTGAATATGGACTGTGAGAATCTGGGCATGAAGGGTGACTTAAACTGTAACCACACATGAAATACGTGTGATGGCGCGCTAGTGTGAAAGCATTTGTGAGTAGTATCACAGCCGCGTGTGTGAAAGCGTGTGAAACTCTTTGACAGACGTATGCTAATGTTTGTGAACAGCGTGTGAAGAGGAGGGGAGACGCGTACCGGCGTGCAGCGGGGGTGGGGTGGAGCGGAGGGGTGTTTGTGCGCAGTCCTCAGGCTGCACAGCTGGGGCTGGCCCAGTCTGAGATGGGGCTCCCAGTCAGTCGGGCCCCAGTACCCGGCTCGGCCCCCTCCCCCTCGCTGTGTAAACAAACCCGCTGGAATTTGCCTCTCGGGGCTTTTCTCCCCGCCAGGATCTGCTGCCGTCTGGAGAGGGCTTGGCGGGCGGGTGTCAGCTCCTGGGGTGGAGAGGGCGGGCAGGTGTTTGATTAGGCGTGCACGAGTGAGCCTGGAGTGGGAGAGCCGAATGTTGTGTGTCTGCGTGCGTTTGGTGGTTTACGTGAGTGGTTGTGTGGCTGTGTGAGAGCCGGGTTGGTGCTGTGTGTGTGCGCATCCCTGGCCGGCCCTTCCCCGCGGCTGCGCATCGCGGGAAGCCACCGACCCGGGGCCCCTGGCCAGCTCCAGCCCAGCTTACCCGGTTCCCAGGCCGTTTCATCCTCCTATTTTACGGCCAGGCCTGCTACAGCCCCTGTAATTACGCGGGGCCCGGACGCCGCAGCAAGTCTGGCTCTGACCCCGCCGGGGAGGAGCCTGGAGCTGGGGAGGGCCCAGCCGGCTCTCCACTGCACCACCACGTGCGCTCAGGCCGCTGGAGGCCCTATTCGCTGCGCTTACAATAAATACAGAGCACCAACGGCCTGTAACCCCGCGGCCGGGTCAAGGCCCGGTTTTGCGCACGGCCAGCGCCACCCACCTCTCCCTCGCGCACCTGCCCCAGGCGACGTGCCCAGCCAAGCGTTTGTCCGAGGTGCGGCCCGCTCCTCCCGCCCAGGACGAAGTCCACCAGACGACTGGTCCCAGGGCGGCACCTCACGCGCCTTTTGCTCACCTAGGAGGACACGTGGCCCTGGCGAGAGTACTGCATCCCAGTTCGGGCATTCCACAGAGTCAAAGCTCCAGGAGGACATGGGTTTTTGTTTTGTTCATTATCTTATTGCCAGCTCCTGGCACAGCATCTAGCACATACAGTAGATGATCAGTAAATATCTGTGGACTTGGTGAAATCACTCACTGTTCAGTGAAGGAACTTAACTTCTGCTGGACGTAACTGCTCCGAAAAGGAGCCAGCAGAGGGGTTGGAGAGGGGAGGGATGCTGGCAGCTCTTTACAGCGGGTGGCCCCGGTTGCCTCCTGGAGGAGACAGCTTTGGGCCGGATTCCCTGGTTTCTCTGACCGCTGGGACTGGGCGGGGACGTGTGAGGTCCCACGCTGCAGCTGCTTGGGCCAGGCAGGTTCGGGCTCGCTAGGCCCAGTCTGGCGGGGCCACGTCAGCTCTTGCCTGTGTCTAGGTCTGGAGCAAGCTGGGTGCAGAAGCGTGCAGGGAAATTCTGGGCACCGACAGGACCTGGAGCCCTCTTTCCCTGCTTTGGCGCTGTCCCCAGTATTCTCATCTCACTTCGGGCATTGATCCCATCACTCCTCTATCCACTCCCCTATCCACATGGGGGTCCATCCTCCCCCCTACTGGAGCAGCCCTAGACAGAGTGTTGTGATGAACTGGGTGTTGTGATGGGCACCGAGAGTGTAAGGATGGGTTTAAGATAAAATTACTACCTCGGGGAGCCTCCAGGCCAGTAGGGGATATTGACAAGCCACCAGGACAGCAAACTTGCTAAGTGCCCAAGCCCAGACTGCAGTCCTACCACTCACAGTCACACTGCCCTGACCCCTCTGGGAGCCCCTGCGGTGCCTGCTGTGCTGAGGGGAGAGTTGCAGGCACTGTGCCATTCAGAGACAACAGTAGGGACTTCTGTGCCTGGAGACTCGATCTGCTGACCAACTCTGGGGCCCCCTCCCAGTCCCTTCCTCATGCCAGCCCCCACCCTGCCCGGGTGGGTCTGCTCTCCATTCTTGCTTGGTGCTGCCTCTCACCTCAAAGTTGTGTGCCTGTGTTGGCTCCCAGCACATCACCTGCAGGCAAACATCTGCGCTTAGTGACGATAGCTGCCTGAGGTGTCTGTCTGTCTGTCTGCCTGTCTTCGTCTAGGAAATTCCTCCATGAGTCCTTTCTGGAAATTCCTGGGAGGGCTGAGGACTTGGGGGAGGCCCTGGCTGCCTGGAGGCAGCATTTCCACTTGGGAACAGGTGCAGATACTGGATTGCGCCTCCTTTGCTGGGTGCCCTGCGGTTTGGGGTGGGGAAGGCCAGAGCTGCAGGGCCCTGGGGCAAGTGAAACCTGGTTCAGCCCCAGAAGGTATCTCTGGGCAATGGGGCGAGGCAGCAGGGGGAGGAGCAGAACCTGGGCTGAGAGCAATCTCTGTCCTACTCCCTCAAGGTCATTTTGAAACATAAAGTATACCCTTCCCCACTTTATTAGTAATGTGCACACATTTTTCAGAAGTTGGAAAATAGGCCGGGCACGGTGCTCATGCCTGTAATCCCAGCACTTTGGGAGGCTGAGGCGGGTGGATCACTTGAGGTCAGGAATTCGAGACCAGCCTGGCCAACATGGTGAAACC